TGTGAATTTTATAGATGGCACTATTAATCGATTATTTTTATCCGCGGAATTCGAAATATATCCCTTTTAAAAAAAAAGCGTGTAACGTTTTTTGTCAGCTTTTTCGGCGCATAGTTGAGCTATGCGTATCAAATTATAGGTATAATTTGATTGAATATATATAATATAGTATAAGATAATATATAAAAAAATATATAAGCTTTTATGTGGGCTGTTTTATTGCTATTTAATTGTTTTCTTTCGTCATTTTATACTCAATTTTGCACAGAATTGAAGAGGTACTTTATGAAATTCAAAAAGACAATTAAAAATTGCGATGGGAAATTCCTGAAATGGAAAAACCTAAATATCAACGTCTGGGCTTTCCCCAGGGCTTCGAAAATTATAAATCGCCTTAGAAATTCAATGCCGCTGGAATAAGAACGCTGAGAGGAATAGTTTTCAAATAATCTCGAAAAAACCGCAATAGAAAATTCCTAGAATGGAAAAAGCTAAATATCAATTTCCTAGCTGCCCTAGTGGCCCCGATTAGTCCCTGAGGGAAAACGAAGAATGGGGAAGAAAACGTGCTAGTGATTAACGGCCATCACTTGTGTTTCGGTGTAATAAGATTAAAAGTTAAGCGTGACCCAGGAAATTGTACTGCAGGGCCGAGGATTGAGGGATGGAACAGAGACATGACCAGAAATAAGAAGAGGAAAATGAGAATTGGAAGGGGGAGTATTCAGGAAAGAATTTCGGAGAGAAAACGGATAGAGAGAGGAAAGAACGAATTAATTGTTATTGATCTCCACTCTTTTGTTATTAATCATTACTTATATTTGATCTAGGGCTGCAAGGCCCAAGGACTAATCAAGAAGGCAAATCACGTATCTCAGGGTTTTGAGTGCCTCAATAAATACTGACTGTATTTTAATAATATAATGCATTTTTAACATAGCCGAACAGTTTTTAGGTAGACAGTGATATTTTGTAACAGTCTGAACCCGTTTTGTTGAGGTAGACACAGATAAAAAGTCTTGATTACAAATTCTTCTTTAGGGAAATGGTAAAGGAGTGTTGAATCCAGACGATTTCAACCGCAATTAAAATTGAGCGAGTGTCTCTAGTCTCTAGTACCGATCCGTTGAGACATCTTCAACTTGCGATAGTCAACTGCCGCTAAAATACGCACTCGTAGAAGTGAACTTGAGATCATTTTAATTATTGCTTGATTACTCAATTCTTTCGCATAATTTCCTTGAAACATGAATGAAAAATCCAATAATTACAATCTTTCGCTCCAATAATATTTCCGTTTCTATTACACAATTTGGAAATGTTGAAATCTCTCTTCAAATCGGTTCATATATTAGTAATCTACGAGTTTTCCGAACAAATAATCGAATAAACCTTAATTGAAAACCATCTAGTTCCTCCGTATTAATTTTGGATAATTCAAATGCGAGAGTTACAGAAAATAAATACCGAAGTTAAGTAACGAGTGATGGGTGAGTTACACGTGTAAATAATTTCCCACACAAACACGCAATGCTCCCGTCGCTATTTGTGCACCGCAGAATATACCGAGGAGAGTTAAATCAGGAATAAAG